TCTATGCGAGGGAGAGAAAAATGATCTTTCGGGCAGGCCCGGTTGATGTGCTTGAAATCAATGCACATTCGGAGCGACTTGTCCTTCTTAGGAACCATGACGACATTAGCGAGCCACTCGGAATGGTATATCTCTCGGATAAATCCGGCCGCCAACAGTCGAGCCACTTCTCCACCAATGGCTTTTCTCTTCTGGACGGCGGACCGCCGAAGATGCTCTTTGACTGGTTTTGCAGATGAGTCGACTCTTAGGCGATGCTCAGCCAGTCCCCTGGGAACACCTGGCATGTCAGCGGGCTTCCATGCAAAAATGTCCCAGTTCTCACGGAGGAACTGGATGAGCGCTTCTTCCTATTTTGGGTCGAGTGTTGTGGAGATGCGGGTCGGAGCTGCATCGGGGTCGGTCGGGTGAATGTGAACAGGCTTCGTCTCACCGGACGACTGGAATGCAGACTCTGTGGCGGGTTTCTTTGATCGCAGCAAGTCACTCGGATCTGCGTTTTGCTTGTATTCTTCGAACTCGACCGCTGTCACCTGGGAATCGGCAATCTTGGAGCCCTTCTGAAAGCACTCTTCTGCCTTTTTCCGATCACCGGTGACAGTGATCACTCCTTTGGGGCCGGGCATCTTCAATTTGAGGTACACATAGCATGGTCGAGCCATGAACCGTGCGTAAGCTGGTCTCCCCAAAATGGCATGATATGCACTCTGAAAATCCACGACCTCAAACGTCAACTTTTCTTTGCGAAAATGTTTCGAATCACCAAACACCACATCCAAAGCTATTTGGCCGAGTGACTCGGCCTTCTTCCCTGGTATAACTCCATGAAAGCTCATGTTACTAGTGCTCAGTCGGGACATCGGAATGCCCATTCCTTTCAGTGTGTCTGCATACAACAAGTTCAGCCCACTTCCACCATCCATCAGCACCTTTGTCAGTCGAGTGCCTTCGACAACTGGATCGACCACCAAAGCTTGCCTCCCAGGGGTGGCAATATGAGTCGGGTGATCAGATTGGTCGAATGTGATGGGTATTTGAGACCATTTCAGATAATTTGCTTTTGCTGGGGCAACCATGTTCACCTCTCGGTTAATGACTTTCAGTCGACTCCTGCTTTCCACATCTGCAAAGATCATCAGAGTGGAGTTGATATGTGGATATCCTTCCTCACTGTCCTCCTTGTCTTCGGCCTTGTCTGACTCCTTCTCCTTGTCCTTAGACTGTTTTCCCTGAAACTGCTGGATCAGGAGTCGACATTGACGAGTGGTGTGCTTCGGGTAGATGATATTCCCCTCTTCGTCTTTCTTCGTATGGATGTGACATGGCATATCCATTACGTCGTTCCCTTCTTTATCCTTTACCTTCTTGGGGTTCCAGGATCCTTTTGGTTTCCCCTTAAACTTTCCTTGAGTCACGGCCAGAGCCTCTCCAGGAGCTGCCGGTTCAGCCTTCCGCTTCTGTTTCCGACTGGTGTTTCCTTTTTCCGACTGACTCGGCTTGTGCTTGCCGCTTCGGAGTCGGTCTTCTTCTTCGCCGTTGGCGTACTTGGTAGCAATCTCCATCATCCGACTCAAGGTCATGTCACCGGTTCGACCAAACTTCAAACTCAGTTCTCTGTTCTTGACGCCATCTTTGAAGGCGCAGACTGCCTGATGATCAGACACATTCTCCACAGTGTGGTGCAAAGTGATCCACCTCTGAATATACTCTCTGAGAGTCTCATTAGCCTTCTGCACGCAGACTTGCAACTCTGTCAATCCAGCTGGTCGCTTGCAAGTCCCTTCAAACGTTCTGATGAACACTCGGGACAGATCTTCCCAAGCGTAAATGCTGCTAGGAGGTAATTGAGTCAACCATGCCCTGGCAGAACCTTCCAGCATGAGGGGCAAATGCTTCATGGCCACCTCGTCGTTCCCACCACCAATCTGAACTGCCACTCGGTAGTCTTCAAGCCAAGTTTCAGGCTTAGACTCACCCGTGAACTTGCTGACTCCTGTTGCCAACCTGAAATTGGGAGGGATAACTGCGGCTCTGATAGCTCTACTGAAACATTCAGGACCAGAAATATGCATTCGACTGCTTGTGGGCGCATCTCTGTCGAGTCCGCCCCGATGGGCTCTGTTCCGGTCGACCAAACCTTGCACGATAATGGATCGCGCGTCGAAGCCTGGTCCTCTGGGGTCGACTGGAACCCTTCGCCCTGTACTGTACTGACGCCTGTCATCTGGCTGCCGAGGAGCGTAAGACCCACCCCTCAGAGGGGAATTGGGCACTCGACGCCTATCATCTCGGTCGAGTCTGTCGCCATATTGATCTCGCCGATTCTCGCGCCCTTCACGCCGCGGAGGCGATCTGGGGCTGTGAGCCGACTGAACCGTATTCACAGTGACGGATCGACTGTGAATTCTGTTGCGCGACTGAGACACGGCTGAATTCTGATCTCCTGCTGCCCGGAGCAGATCCCTGATCTGCAGCAAACCTCTGCCAGCTTCCGACTGCGAAGGCTGGATGGACTCTGCTATACGGGTCGCAGCTGCTAAATTCTGAATTGGGGTTCGATATACCTGAGTCGGCGGGAAGAGTTGACGTCGACTGGGGTCGGGAACTCGTTGCCGCGCGCGCTCGTCGAGTGCTCGCTGAAGGTTCTCCAGTCGAGTGCGCTCGGCCAAATTGGCCAGACGCGCCTCCTCCAAGGCACGAGCCTCGGGGGTTTCTCCTGCGATGGGAGTACGCAGGGCATCCACGTTCCTGCGGCGAAGTTCCTCTCTTTGCAGAGAGTCGAGTGGCTCGGGCTGGTACTCTTCGTGGCGTCGTGCGGGGTCGCCTCCGTCACCTGCTCCATCATCACGGGCGAAGCCAGGGGGACTGCGGGGCCCGTCGACCATCAAGATTTCCGCTGCTGGATCACTGCTACCGCACTCGGATGCAGTCTCTACGGAGCCAGTCGACAGATCGAATAAGCCGTAGAGAGATTCGTCGGGCTCGATTGCCGCAACTTGGGTGGTGGCCGATTGGCGAGCCACCGCGTGCCTCACCCATCGCTGAAGCCTCGACCGGCCCGAGCGCTTGCGCTGGCGGGATACCGGGAGGGTGGACGATGGAGGAGCCGACCGATACTGGGTCGACGGCTGCCGCAGCAGAACGCCGCGGACACATGCGCGAAAATGCGTCGCAACGCGGACGGGGAGCGCATCTACGTCGAGTGGAGCCTCCTGGAGCCACGCCGAGTCGTCGACGATGAAGGTGAGAGTGCCGAGACGGATCTCTTGACCCCCGACCAAAACTCCAGCAGACACCATGATGAAAGTACTCGGAAGAATCGCAACTTCTCCACAAAATCGCTAAAACACCTGCCCCACGGTGGGCGCCAACTGTCGTGGTTCTAAGCCTGACAGTAGAGTGGGGGTAGGTATGGAGAGGCAAGGTCCTAGCTATGAAGAAGTTGTAAACACAAGGGATGTACGAGTTCAGGCCCTTCTTGGAAGAAGTAATAGCCCTACGTCTCGGAGCCCGGAGGCGGTCGAGTGGATTATGAGTATATGAGTTACAGGGTGCCGAACCCTTCTACCTGTGGAGGGGGGTGGCTTATATAGAGTGCGCCAGGACCCCAGCCAGCCCACGTAGGAGAGGGTTTAAGGTGAATTAAGTCTGGGGCGTTACTGGTAACGCCCCACATAAAGTGTCTTTACTATCATAAAGCCTACTTAATTACAGGCCGTTGCAGTGCAGAGTGCCTCTTGACCTCCTGGTGGTCGAGTGAGCCTTCATGGTCGAGTCCTTCAAGTCAGTCGAGTGAGTCCCTCGTTGGTCGACTGGAAGGCGACCTCTTCTAAGGGTATCCTTGGGCAAGGCACTTAGACTAAGTTCATGACCCTACCCTAGGTACATGACCCCATCAGCCGCCCCTTCCCCCCCAAACCAACCGAGTAGTCGAGCCCCTACGTCTCGCCGCTCACAACAACAGTACGAGATGGTGAGGCCATCGTCGGGCTGGAAACCACTGTCGGCGACAAGCCATCCTGAAACATCACCGGCGGTAACTCACGTTCCACCGGATCGTCTAGCTCCACTCGGCTGCTCCACAGCCTACTAGGAGCCAAACACGAGCTGAAAGAACCAAAACGCAAAGTATTCACCGGCGTAGAAGATGAGGTACTTTTGGCAGCCTTATCTGTCGAGTCAAACTGCGCATTGGGCCCCTTGGCCTGCTCCCGCGACGACTCCTCGGGCCCCTTGTTCTGATTTCCAGGAGCACCACCCCCCTCAGACATATCCATATCTTGAAGCTCATCACCCCCCCTAGACAAATGGGTGTATCCTCAATCTCAATCTCTAACTCATATGTGACCCCCGCATGTGTCCACTTGACGACATCCGGCACGAACTCAATACTGACCACACTGACAAGTAGCCTCGCCACATCATGTGCACGAGTAAAAGGCATATCAACCTGCTCTGTCCTACCAATGAGAGATCCCAAGCTCCAGGTAACTAAAAAGTTGTTGAGTGGTTTAGGCGGAGCACCTGAAAAACGTACCCAAACCTGAGCATAATTGTAAAACATGAGAGTATTCTCCTGTTAAGTCTCATCATTGATCATTCGGTAGAGCCTGGCCAGAAAGAACATCCCAAAACGAAGTTGAAAAGCTGAAGCCACCACACCAGGAGGCATTTCAAACGTTCAAATTTCACCAGTCATCGCGCGTTACCGATACTTTCCGCTGCAGTCCTCTTGCGCTTCCTACTGCCGTACTCCTACAGACGTCCCTTCTTGGAAGAGAGAGAAAGAGACCAGTCCCCTTGTTTCTGTGGACCAACTCCAGTAGACCTTCTTCGCTGACGCGGTGGCCTATGGGGAACTCGATACACAGCACCCGGTGGACCAACCCCACCAAGCTCTTCTAACAAAACGTCAAAACTAACTCCTCCTTCCAAAAAAACTCCTCATTCCGCTCCGCTAGTCCAGTGTCCAGTCCACACTCCACAGCACACCGCCCGCGATGGCGCTCCGGCTCCGCTCTGCCCTCTCCGCCGCCGCCGCCTACGGACGCCTCCTCCGCCACCGGGCTCTCTCCGCGGAGGCCACCTCACGCCCTCAGTGGGGTGTGATCGTCGGCACGCGTCCGGTCAAGTCGCCGGCGCTCCGTGCGACCTTCCACCTCGCCGAGCCCCCGCGCGCCTCCCGCCTCCTCGTCCCCGCCCACCTCCTCGGGTCGGGGCCACTCCCGGGCGTCGACAGAGGAATCATGGGCGCGCTCTTCTGCGACGTCCGCGCCGTGAGCGCCGACGGCTTCCTCCTCCTCAACTTCCTCGACATCCGCACCACGGGCCCCGTCCTCGAGAGTCAGCGCGCTGACCCATTTCGGGACGCGACCCTTTCAGCGCTCCCCGAGGCCACGCGGTTCGTCTGCAACCCTCTCAGCGGCGAGCTGTTCCGCCTGCCGGACATCGACGGCACCAAGAAGACCCTGTGCGACAACCGCTTCGGCCTCCTCACCAAGGCCCGGCGCGGTCACGGCCCGCCCGACAGGTACGCCGTCGCCGAGCTCCTACAGGAAAAGGAGCCCTCGAGGTGCTTCTCCATGAGGCGGTTCCTCTCCGAGACAGGGGAGTGGGAGAAGCTCACGGGCCTGCCGTCCCCGCTCCCACTCCCGCTGGCGCGTCGGATGGAGGTGGACCACGAGGCCGTGGCCTTCGGCGGCCGGCTCTGGTGGGTCGATGGGAGCTGTGGTGCCGTCTCCGCGGACCCGTTCAGCGACCGGCCCGAGCTCCGCTTCGTGGAGCTCCCGGAGGGCAAGGAGCGAGTGGCCCCTGATCCCCGGACCCTGTGCAGATACCGGCGCGTTGGGGTCAGCGAGGGGAGGCTGCGTTACGCCGTGGTGTCCCAGTGGGAGCCCTTCGTTCTCCGCTCGTTTGCCCTTGATGGCGACGACGATTGGACACTGGAGCACGAGGTGGCGCTTAGCCCACTCTGGACGAACGGGGGCTACCCCTGGCTGCCTATGGAGGAGACACCGCGGATTGCCGTCATCGACCCCATGAACGCGAGCATCATGCATCTCACCATCGGCAACTATGTTGTCACCGTGGACATGGACAGGGGAAAGGTGGTTGCTAGTGCAATTGTCTCGGCGGCTCATCAGCATGGTCTAATCACGGCCAATGGTGGTTTCTTTCGGGCATTTCTGCTCTCGCCGTGGCTTGGATCAAGCCGGATTCCTCGTGCAGGTAATCGACTTGTGCATGACTCATTCTTCTCAAATGCAAAAGTTGTTTAGCATATAAATAGTAGAATAAGTAAGATCTAATGGAAGTTGTATGTTAAATTCTTAATCGTAATGTGTGCACTAAACTTCAGAGAGGCATTTGACATGCACAGGCTAAGTACAATACTCAGCTATTAAGCCATAAAGGACACAATTTGTTAATAGATTGGGATTCAGGAATGCGCGAAGAGTTTGATTTGCCTTGGCGAAAGATTGTGTGAACCTCCCAAAATGATTTATTGGGAATTACTCCCTCTGTACCGAAATACTTGTAGTTGGGGGGACTTGTACTAGTTTCCCCCAGCTACAAGTATTTCGGTACATGAGGTAGTAGGTGTGAAACTGTAATCATGCTTTTGAACTTTGTGTTCGAACGTGAGAATGGTTAAGTATGAATAGTTACGTTCTAATTCAATCAAACAATGTTGTTGGCTTCGCAAGGATATGATTAGTTGACTGGTGTGAGAATAAGAAGTAAGGAAAGCATGCGTTTGACCCATATCCACAATGAATTATTATTTTCTGCTTCAAACTAGTAAAGCTCCCAGTTTGTTGACTTGCTGCAAGCTAAAACATTTCCAGTCTAAAGCATGGTAATCTCCCAAATTTCAAAGTTGCCGATATATGTGTACATTTTTTCATCTTTTTGTCATTCAGTCTTAGGTTAAGGATGTTGTAGCCTTTTAATCATTCCTCTATACTTCCTTTGTTTCATGGACTACTCAAGTATACTGTTGTCCCGAAAAAAAGTTTGACCGCTCTAACTAGCGTATGCTGTGATGATCTACTGGAAAACTTAAATTCTTCATTTGTTTCGGAAGGAAAGCCTCAGTTCTTAACTTTAGTGCACAGAAAACTCAGTGTTATACTCCCTCCGTCCTAGTTCTTTTGCGTTAGTATTGTGGGCGGATGCTATCGTTTAAGTTTTTTCAAACGTTTATGACGAAAAAGAGCTATTTTCAGGCAAGCCGGGCAATGCCAGGAACAAGACTCTGGCAGATGTTCTGATTCGCTCAAACTGATACTAGAGCAGATGAAGCATGCAAGGTAACCAGCCAATATATATCTCTTGATACTTCCTCATATCTAATGCTTCTATGACATCATGAGGATACTGCATTCCTTTCTATCCATCCAGCGTGTATACATATTTGTGCTCCTGCTAGGTATTCTTGTTGTGTGTTCAGACTTCTGAGAATCTGTAGGGGAGTTGTTGATCTGGATAAAACAGATCAGGGGTGCTGGACAACGTTTAGTTTAGATTGTTGCTGCTGCTGCTCTTTCCTGGTCCCTTTGGCGTACCAAAACGATTTGAATTTTTGAAGCTACCATGCTAATCCATCATCTGGCTGATGCAGTTCGTCGATTTGCAGCAACGGCAAGCGTTTTGGAGTTAGATACAACAGGAGGCGTTCAAGATCCTCTTCGGCGGGATGGGGCAGTGGAGTTTGGGAGTTGTTAGCTTCGATCAAGACTCTTGCCTTTCCAAGTTTTATTTTGCTTTGTATGGCTATCTTGTAAACAGGGCCAAACCTGAAACCTGACAACTTTTGAATGGAAGCTGCGCGATAAACCTTTTCTCTAAAGTGTTATGCATATTTTACCAATTATATACTACTCTCTCCATTTCAAAATAAGTATCGTGGCTTTAGTTGTTAATACTAGTTCCTAGGTGTTGATTATGAAATACTCCATCTGTTCACTATTATAAGATGTTCTAACTTTCTTCTTCTAAATCGGATGCATGTAAATATGTTTTAGTGTGTTTGTTCATCCATTTCAGTATGTATGTAGTTCATATTGAAATATTTGAAATATATTATAATAGTGAAAGGAGGGAGTAGTATACTGAGAGCAATATGGTACGTATTTGTTGTGGTTGCATCAAATCTAACCCAGGAGTCCTGCCTAATCTAATTTGGCAACATTATGAAGGTCAGGTCAAGTCAAAGAAGAAAGAAGATAAAAAGAGGAAGTCAAAGATGAAGGCGCATGAAGAAAGAAGCACACTCAGGTAAAGAGATTGTAGGCTAGTCCATGATAAATCATGCACCACCTAAGTCTTATCGCCCCTCTCTCTCTCTCTCTCTCTCTCTCTGTGTGTGTGTCTCTCTCTCTCAGCCTCGATCTTTTATGAAGGATTCCTAGCTTATGTACACCCCAAATGGGAGGCTCATTCATCTAACAGAGTCGGCATCCAGAACCATGCCCTTGCAAACCTGCACCAGGTGAAGGGCAATAAGACTTTTAGGGAGCATTTCGGCATGACTACTCACCTTTGTTCGACCACTTCCTTGACTTTGACTACTCCGACTACATCAATTTCATCGCCATGAACAACACTGGCAAGAACAAAACCGATGTGATCATACTGTATGTTCGGATAACTGTTTTGTCGGTTCATGCACTCGTTGCTCACGTCAATTTCAGTCTTTGTTGCGCATTCGTGTGTCCATTTTTTGGCATGTCAACAATATCACCATCACGCTTTTTATCCGAGTTAAATTAATTTTAAAAATTGCTAATTATATTCTAATAAACCAAGCCGGTAGTTGTGTTTGTCAAATTAAGTCGAGCATCTTCATGTAACTTAGCCAGGTTCAATCTCCTTTCAGTGTAAAAAAAAAGGGGGTCCAGTGTCCTTTCTGTCGGTTTGCTTGTAGAAGTGAGCCAATATTTTATCATCATTATGTACTCTTATTGTCTTTGAGCTCGTCTTTACCTCCCGTTAGCTTGATCCTGTACTCTGTACTATCTTAAAACCTTAATCGGTCTCGACCTGACTTCAGGAAGACCAACAGCAGTAACTAGGGAGAAGTAAATCAGTGGAGAAATTGGCGTGCCGCGTGATGGTTTTGTGAGAATCATCACGGACGGGGAGTTCTCGTCTATGACCTACTTCTGCTCAAGGGCAGCTCTGCGGGGTGGGCCAAAAAAGATCTTACATTATGGGACGAAGGAAGTATTTGATGTTATATTGCGGCCTCGAGGCAATGGAATGATTTCGTTCCACCAAAATAACAAACTTCTAAATACGATCTGCAAAATCGCAAATGCAATTCCCTTATCCATCCAACTGTGCACCAATGTGCCAAAACTGATTCAGATCAAAACAACCTGTGTTGAGAGGCCACAATGCCAGAAATACATCAAAATTTCTGTAGCATCGACACGGGGCGTTAAACGCTGCAGTACTGGAAACACAATGTCACTATACATGCCTCTAAAACACTGACTGATCCAGGAGAAACTAATGCCATATTGGAGTGTCAGCAGATATGTGCAAAATGGACTAAAAGCGAATCCTCTAACTCTCCGGCCAATCCAAGTGCCTGATCGCCCCTGCACTAACATGCCATGCTCCTTCGGATAGCTCGTCAAACAGTTGGCTGTAACCCCAACCAGCGTAGCCGAGGAAAAACCACAGGTCCTCGGCAGATTGCTCGCCCGCCCTCATCCCCGCGATTACCCGCCTTGTAGCAATTATGTTTCCATAATAGAGGTCGGGTATGACTTGCGTGTACCCCTCCAGGGCGGCTCTGGACAAACTCACAAGGTGGTAACCCTGCACCACAACAGGTCCGCCGTAGAAGAGAGGGGCAAGTTTGATAGGCTCCAGGGAGCTGTCCAGGTTCTTTAAGGCATCCCAGCTTAACCTTTTGTTGATGATTAGTCCATGAAATCCCTCGTGAGAATCAGCCGATACGATGAGCACTCGAGCATTATCGAATGGAACTGCGGCACCAAGCTTTTCGGTGGCGTCGAGGATGGACCCCGTGACGATATGCACCTTGCGCTTTTCAGGTTGACTTGGCAGATCGGAACCAACACTGTTGCCGCTCTTGTCCTTCATGTGAAACCGGACCGTCTGTGGTGCTTCATGTTGCATTACCATTCTCTTCTTTCGCAGAAATCCTGTTTGCCAGAAAGAGCAAGGGTTTAGAATGTTTATTATATACCACAACATTACCGAGCAATACATTCATAATAACTTTCTTGTTATCTTTGGTGTGATAGTTGGGGATGCAAGAGTCAGCTGTGAAACAGTCAAGTAATACATTATAGGCAATGTTCCCTCAAATTTTGTTTGAGCAGAACTTTCTTCTTGTGGCATTCTACAAAGCATGGACAGGCCAAAACAGCCGAATTGCCATTAGTTCGGCGGGACACGGCGATACGGCTGGATACGCCAGGATTCGTGTATGCCCCAGTATCCCCTGATTTCCGAATTAGAAAAAAAAAAGTACACAGCATTAGGGACACGGGAAGCCCAATAATAGTCTCGGCCAAATACAACAACAACAACAACAACAACAACAACAACAAAGCCTTTAGTCCCAAGCAAGTTGGGGTAGGCTAGAGGTGAAACCCATAAGATCTCGCAACCAACTCATGGCTCTGGCACATGGATAGCAAGCTTCCATGCACCCCTGTCCATAGCTAGCTCTTCGGTGATACCCCAATCCTTCAGGTCTCTCTTAACGGACTCCTCCCATGTCAAATTCGGTCTACCCCGCCCTCTCTTGACATTCTCCGCACGCTTTAGCCATCCGCTATGCACTGGAGCTTCTAGAGGCCTGCGCTGGATATGCCCAAACCATCTCAGACGATGTTGGACAAGCTTCTCTTCAATTGGTGCTACCCCAACTCTATCTCGTATATCATCATACCGGACTCGATCCTTCCTCGTGTGGCCACACATCCATCTCAACATACGCATCTCCGCCACACCTAACTGTTGAACATGTCGCCTTTTAGTCGGCCAACACTCAGCGCCATACAACATTGCGGGTTGAACCGCCGTCCTGTAGAACTTGCCTTTTAGCTTTTGTGGCACTCTCTTGTCACAGAGAATGCCAGAAGCTTGGCGCCACTTCATCCATCCGGCTTTGATCCGATGGTTCACATCTTCATCAATACCCCCATCCTCCTGCAGCATTGACCCCAAATACCGAAAGGTGTCCTTCTGAGGTACCACCTGACCATCAAGGCTAACCTCCTCCTCACACCTAGTAGTACTGAAACCGCACATCATGTACTCGGTTTTAGTCCTACTAAGCCTAAACCCTTTCAATTCCAAGGTTTGTCTCCATAACTCTAACTTCCTATTTACCCCCGCCCGACTATCGTCAACTAGCACCACATCATCCGCAAAGAGCATACACCATGGGATATCTCCTTGTATATCCCTTGTGACCTCATCCATCACCAATGCAAAAAGATAAGGGCTCAAAGCCGACCCCTGATGCAGTCCTATCTTAATCGGGAAGTCATCAGTGTCGACATCACTTGTTCGAACACTTGTCACAACATTATCGTACATGTCCTTGATGAGGGTAATGTACTTTGCTAGGACTTTGTGTTTCTCCAAGGCCCACCACATGACATTCCGCGGTATCTTATCATAGGCCTTCTCCAAGTCAATGAACACCATATGCAAGTCCTTCTTTTGCTCCCTATATCTCTCCATAAGCTGTCGTACCAAGAAAATGGCTTCCATGGTCGACCTCCCAGGCATGAAACCAAACTGGTTTTTGGTCACGCTTGTCATTCTTCTTAAGCGGTGCTCAATGACTCTCTCCCATAGCTTCATTGTATGGCTCATCATCTTAATTCCACGGTAATTAGTACAACTCTGAACATCCCCCTTGTTCTTGAAGATTGGTACTAATATACTCCGTCTCCATTCTTCTGGCATCTTGTTTGCCCGAAAAATAAGGTTGAAAAGCTTGGTTAGCCATACTATCGCTATGTCCCCGAGACCTTTCCACACCTCAATGGGGATACAATCCGGGCCCATCACCTTGCCTCCAGTCTCGGCCAAATATAGCGCCACAAAAGTAACACTGCTCCACGCTCCAACGAACGCGCCACCGCTGCCTGGACTCGACGCTACTGCCGCCTGGACTCGGCCTCCCGACGGCAACCACGCTCGAGCGGGTAACCCAGCAGCCTCTCCTCAACCTCTTCATATATTTCCTCGATTTCTTGATGCTGAGTTGCTGCTGCTTCCTTCCCCATG